GCAGGTTGTCCAGGTTCCATATTACAGAGAGCTCGGTAAACGTCTGAAACGAGTTGATCAACCCAGCACTCGGAGTCATGCACTTTCTGTGACATGGACGTCTGAACAATTGAATCAGGCCAATAAAAAAGACTCCAGGCAGAATACATGACCAAAGAGCGTGCCATTTTCACTTCAACAAACTGTGACCCTACGTAGTTTTCTAGGTGATTGAAGCCTTTCAGAACATTTGCCACAAGTGAAGCCGTAGATGAATTGGATGGTGAAGTTTGTATAGCGTTGAGCATTGATTGACAAGAAGTAGCCGTTGAGAGTACGTCAGAAATGGTTGTAGTAGCGCGTATCTCTCCGATCGAATTATCGAAATCATTTGCAGCGGATAATATAGCTTCCTCCGTTAATTGGTTCAAGAATTTGTCAATATTATCTGCAAAGGGCTCCATGAAAATACAATGCAGATAATATATGATTGATACCTTTAGTTGTTATGGTAGAATCTAACTCTGGGCTCGTCGAATCTGATTCTGAGGAGCTTTCGGAGCCATTAAGAGGGACGTTCCTTTGGTCGGGAGCTAGGGCATCGAAGTCGATATGTCCTATCTCAGGGAACAAAAGTCTTGATGTTTGAGGGGATTGTGGTGGCGAAGTAGATTCATACATGCTGCTATCCTCATCAGATTCTGTAAAAGAATCTTACATCTTATTTATAAAAGTTTACATCATTTGAGTCAAGTTATCATACCATCTTCACTCCTTCGTTTTCTGCGCAAGTACCTTTTAGAAGGACCAGCACCTCCTCCATACATCTCAGGTTCCTGAAGTAAGGACCCAGATTTCTGAGCTTGACGTCTTGATTTTCTTAACTCAGGCGGATTTTCCGGCTCAATGTCTTTAGCTGTCGACAGGATACTGAGCTAAGTAAACCAATCAAAACAAGCTGTTTACCTCTTTCTTTCCCTTTTCTTTTCGAATCAGGTACCATTTTTGTGGGGTTTAACAGTAGTTGGGTAGATTGCGATTCTGTATTTGCCCTTAGAAAATCAGTTTGCATAAGATAGCCAAGTACTCACGCATTAAACTCTCATTGTGAGCTGTTTCATCAGTCTTCTTTCTTCGTTCTACAATATAATCGGCTAACTGAATATATCTGTTTATTGAGAAACGCTTACTTCTTTTTGGACTGTTATGTCCACCAGAGGTGTTATCTTGTTCTTTACGCTTGTTTTCTGTAGAATACATGTAAGTAAAGATAAATACAAGATTTCTTTTACTTACGAGGGCCTTTGTCCTTCATGGAAGCCCGAGGCAAAACTCTTCTGCTTGTTGTACCTTCTTCAATAGCCTTGCGTATAACATCAAAGTTTCCCAAGCAATCTTGCATTGAAGGGATAAACTCAGCAACTCTAGCACAATATGATAACCAAGAGAGATGGTGGTCTCGGCGGTGAATGATAGAGTTGTTTACAGAAGGGATAAAATTATCGTCTTCCATCTGATGGTCTGTCAACGATGATGTGGCGATGTTAGGAATGGTGGGGTCTGCCACTAAAGACTCTGATGTTTGAGATGGAGATGGTCGAGGAGGAGTATCTGGGTGAGCTGCATTCGGAGCATGAGCCCAATCACCTGCAGTTACGATGTTGCCATTCTTGTCAACCATCGAAATAGAGTTGAGAAATTGCTCGGTATCGATTAGAACTTGAAGTCGTCGAGGTAACTGCATGAGAACATGCGACGAGAGTTGCAACAAACTCCTGGAGACATATCTGAACAAAGATATATCTTCCATGACGCTTTCACCATCGGTGGCCCAGTTTGCTTCATTAGAAGACTTGCGTTCCTGGAGGGACCTATGAACAAATGTCAGAGGTTACTTCTTAAATGTAATTTAAAACACCAACACATATCCAGTAACTTCAGGCGGCAACTCCAGATATCCCTTTCCGAGAGACGCTAGTATGGTCTTCACAGAGCCTGAGCCATTGATCATTGATTCAGGTGGATACATTACTCCCATCATGCGAGTAGCATGAGCGTCAATTACTAACTTCGCTGGAGGTGCGATCGGTGGTGTTCCACCGTGCTTGTTTAGACCACAGAAGACAAGAATCTTCATGAAATCCAGCCGTGCATAGACACCAAGAGACAACAAGTGGAATCTTCCATCTTCATAGCCTTCAGGAAGACGAGACATTGCCATCATGGTGGTGAGGCATCCAACACAGTCTAAACAATCCACATGACCGTCTAGGGTCCCAAAGTTACCCATGCCCTCCAGCCCTTTTCCTAAAACTTGGTTTTAATATATACGGTAACTTCTCACCAGTAAATACTTACTTCTGCATGTATCACGAGTCACAGCAGCTGCGATATTTATTTGCTGCGCAGGTGCCACCACGTTTCTATCATTGCTGATACATGGAATATTATCTACTTCGGAATGTTCCTTGAGAAGCGCCAAGTAGTCTTTTGGGGCACAGGCCTCTATGGAATCCATAGTCACAGCAGCCCTTTTTCGAACATAAATGACAGAGCCCTCCTCAAGTTCAAAGAGGCCTAAATAAAGATTTGTTCAGTGCATTTACGTGAAAGATTTTATTCACATACCATGGCCTGCCATAGTTTTATCCAGACCCAACGGTACCTTAAGATCTTTTTCGAAGAGGCGTTTGACGCGCATTGCTGAACTTCTTGTGTCCTCCACATAGACGTAAATGTGCTTTATAACATTGGTGTTGTGTACCAAAGGATGGCTCTCCACCTTGTATAGATACGGAAAGCGACCATCGCGGTTTTTGTGGTGACAAAGCATGCCATCTTTGACGATCTTGAAGGGATCCGATGGAGTCTGGGCCATAAATGCCTTTTTGTCTGATGGATACTGATTGGAAGCCATAGTTGTGGTGTTTAGAGCTGGAGATGGTAAGGAGATGGCGAAGAAAGAGGATGCAACGTGTTTGAGGTGGCGTTTGGACTGGCCAAGACAATGATTACAGACCCAGCTAGAGGAGGTCGTGTTTGGATTGACCAAGACAACGATGACCGATGCCGCTGGAGAGAAGGTCGCGTTTGGATTGACCAAGACGACGACAACAGAGACTGAGTGTGATTGTGACACAATGCGATCGTTGAAAGAGCGTGTTCAAGACAACAATTACAGACACAGCCGAAGAGGAGATCGTGTTTGGATTGACCAAGACAACGATGACTGATGCTGCTGGAGAGAAGGTCGCGTTTGGATTGACCAAGACGACAACGACAGAGACTGAGTGCGATTGTGGCACAATGTGAGAGCATGTTGTGTAAGTATCAGAAATATCCGAAAATGACATACTTCCCTTGTGGGCTACCTTCAAAATCAAAGGTAGCCTGCAAGGGAAGTACGTCATTTTCGGATATTTCCGATGAGACGTTGTCTACTGGCGTTTTTTAGTATTTCTGATAAACGTTACTTTTTCTAGTCACTTTTTCAGTTGCTTTCTAGTCATTATGCACCCAACATTGATTACTCATGAAATTGCTAACTGTCATATAGCTGGAGATCGGGACTGCAGAGTTGGGGTATACAAATTACATAAAGCTTTGTTAAATGGGATCATTCCAGTGGAATTCCAGGGGAATCCTGCAGGAATAGAGTCATTCCAGAGGAATCCAGAGGAATCCAGAGGAATTCCAGTGGAATCCACAGCATTCCACTGGAATTCCACTGGAATAGGACTGGAATCAAGCAGAGTAAGTTTTTTTCAACTCCAAGCTTATCCTGATGACTTGGCACTCATATTTCCTTATAAAATTCACATTAGATTGAGTTGTAATTTATTTGAAATGTATTACTACACACACTACACAGTTTATCTTAAAGGGAGGGGGTAGAGGAGGGACAAGGTGGGGATGTATTTGAAATGTATTACTACACACATTACACAGTTTATCTTAAAGGGAGGGGGTAGGGGAGGGACAAGGTGGGGGTGTATTTCTATTATTGGGAGGGACAAGGAAGGGGGAAGAACAAGGGAGGGGAGGGAGGAAGGGGGGAAGGACAAGAAAGAGGGAAGGAAGGAAGGGGGAGGGACAAGGAAGGGGGAGGGAGGAAAGGGGGGAAGGAATGGTGGAGCAAGGGGGAGGGACAAGGAAAGGGGGAAGGAGGCAGGGAGGGAGGGAATGGTGGAGGGGAGAGGGAGTGTGGCTGGGACCTCGGCCATCGTCGTCCCGCGTTGGCATCCCATCGTTGTGTCGCATTTCGTTGTCGCCTCCTCGTCGCGTCGTGTGTCCGCGTTGTTGCGTTATTCGTGACGTTGTTGTCGCCGTCGTCGTGGGCGCTGGTTGCTGTTGGGGGCGTCGTCGTGGGTGGCGTTGGTGTGGACGTGGTGGTTTTGGTAGGCGGCGTGGTGCCGTCGTATGTCGTGTGGGTGGTGCGTGTTTTTCGGTGGGCGGCGCGTGTTTTTCGGTGGGCGGCGCGTGTTTTTCGGTGGGCGCTCGTGTTTTTCGGTGGGTGGTGGGATGTTTTCGTGGGCGGGGTATGGTTTTCGTGGGCGCTGGCGGTGTACATGGGCGGTGGGCGTCGTTTTGTGCCCGTCGGGTGTCGTTTTGTGTCCGGGGGCGTTGTTTTAGTGGGTGTTGGGTGTTTTCG